CAACATGCCCTGAACACCAAACATAGCACCTGACTATATCGCTAGCTACTGTACAATGGAGATGAAGCTCACTGAACCAACATTGTAACATGTTGTACAGATCATCATCAACAATTAAACAACATTCCATTCATATATAGTACAGGTGTCACTTTCTCGTTGCCTGCAGGCAAACGTTTGCGATCAGCAATGTATCTTGTGATTATTATACAATCGTTTCTGCTGCCCTATCCGAAATATATCAAATTTAATTCCGTATAAAAAGGAAACTTTTACAGTTGATAATGTGACACAAGTTAAGGTGTATCATGTACTGATCATGATATAGCACACAATTATGTTATCTCATCCAGGAAAATAAAATCTTCATTTTTTGAGTTTTTTGCCTAGATAATACCACCAAAGCTTCCAGTGATTTTTTGGACTCCAGATTTTATTTGAGTCCTGGCCATGGGCCCATATTCATAAAACTGTTCTCATGCTCAAGCTTGGATTCTGTGTTTAAACAAATTCCTTGCAGCTTGCAAAAATCATATCACCCTATCAATAAGTCAAGTCTAGACATCGAAAATGGTCTTCAGCTATAAGTTTCTCCATGCCTAAGAATGGTAACGGTTTCATAAAAACGGGTCCAGATGCTTTTCCTGTGGGACTCATCAACTTTTGAGGGTCCACTATATCTCTTAGTAATGGGACTCACAAAAAGTTTGATGAAAATAGAGAAAAAAGAGGACTTTTATGGAAAAAATCAACAAAAATCTCTGAATTTTCATATGAAGCTCTCCCTTTCTTCTCAAATCTAGGGATAAGTCTGTAGCACCTGTATCAGGTATTATTGGCTTAGGTATGGAAATATGTATAAGACAGTTGTACATCATTTGATGTCCCTCAAACACATTGTCCCATGCATAAAACAAAGCCCTTTCACATGACCGGTATTACATTTCCTGCGATAAAGGAAAATATTCTTTCCTGAATGCATGCATACACTACTGTGTACATGAACATACATCAACTATAAACAGTGTCGCAATAAAAGAAAGTCCTAAGACCAAAATAGTTTGAAATAATTGACTAAAGCCAGGTCTATGGTATCAATTTGTTGATTTTTTTATCTTAATTACCTCATTTAAGTTGATATGAGAATTTGGAACAGCACTTAATATGAAATATAAAAATAAAACAGATTATACTGTAGAATTCTACTAGAATGTGCTGGTAACAAGGTTGTAAAACTAGTAAAATTAGAATATTTTGACTAATTTTACTAATTTCTTCTTACAAGTTACATATGATACTGGGCTCGTGCTATTGAGAACTATCGATGGAAAATGATAGGTTAGGGTCATGACAAGTGGAATTTGACACCCTTCAGAAATAACGGACAGGACATGCCTGGCTGTCATGTTTACAAACCTCAGGTCAAATGAATAAATGAACATGCAAATTGATAATGAATTTAATAGTAATGATACATAAGCAAAAGGCCCAGAATGCCTGTATCACTCACCTGGCATGCACCAGGTAACCTTATAAAAAAAGAATTAGAGAGCTTTGGAGTACATGTACATATTTCCTTCAAATGTCTCTCTTCAGAGCTTTATAAGAAAGTACACAGAATGTATATATATAACCAAACCATGTTGAAACATTTATTTTCTCTCCATAACAATAACAACCATCCTCTTGATTATGTTTTCTGTTACCTTCATCGTATCGCCCAAGTTGGCCTTTTAGTTCATTGCTTACTTTGTGAATATGTTAGGTTACCTGGTACACCCACACCAATTGTGATTCCTAGTAATAACAAGTATTCAGCATCTGAAAGTGTTACAGCAGTAATTTAAAGTGGGCAATGTGTATACTTGTGACTTTGTGTGTTTTAATTTATGTAAATAAGACAGATTTATTCGTATACAAGATAGCAACCTTTAATTTTAAGCTTGTAGCTTAATTGGCCTCTAATAGAACTTTTAAAATGTCACACACATTTTCAGTCGGCAAATGTGAAAATGATTACTTAATTGCACAACATACACAAATCATTACAGTGAATACATTCAAATATAGTTAAGGTTAAATATATGATCAATCAACTTTAAATCTAGTCCAGTATGTGATATTACATACATAGTTTTTATAATGCAGTGCTTTACAACATAATATTGATATGGTTCAATTTTTGCATTTAGATTACTGAAAAAAATACAAGGAGTCTGAATTAAAGGATATAAACGTGTTAAGGTAATAAAAGTACTAACATTTTTTTAATGATTTTACTGCAGTGTTGATTTTAATTGTGAAGAAAAATGGGTTACTGAAGAATAATATGGTTGTGTTTATAATATACTGTGGCTGAACACCAAATTCTAATCGATGAGAGAATGTCATTCAAGTTAATTGACATATCATATAGCTGTCTATTGAAGGTACAGAAACTATTGATATTCAAATTTAAAATGAGAAAATCTAAGTAAAATCAATCCTTGCAAATTACATATATATTTATATATAAACATGTGAAAATGCATGTTTCTGGAAGATTCGGATTAACATCAAATGTATGGGAAGACCAAGACAGGGATTAACATCAAATGTATGGGAAGACCCAGACAGATGTCATGAGCCGATGGTCTGGACATAGTCTGAATAGACCGATTCTGACAGTAACAGGAGACCTTGAGAACAAAACTTGTATCTAAAGATGAGTCAGCTTAACAAGTTAACATACTGAATACATCACTTGAGAATTGTGTGGGGAAAAAAGGTCTATGTTTGTAGATCTGTAGAAGATCTAGATTGTGACACATCGATTATTAAGGAATATTGCAGACACAAAGATAATAAGCTTATAATAGTCTTATCATGATCATTGCATACTAGTGGTCAGGTATCATACATATATGTACATGTATTTAATGCTTTCTTGAAATTCTCATCAATAAGCCAACAATGCTTTCCTCATATGTGCCTGATCATGCCACCTGCTTACACTTTTATGCTTGTATATATAATGAGTTATAACTTCTATGTCCATTATACCTACCTGGGTAATTTGTTTCTGTTCTCATCGAACTGCCTGGTACATATAAATCAACAGGGTATGTTTATTACTGACGTTTATTAAGTTATGGCATTGTTGGCACATGTCCTTTTTTGGACTTCAATAAAACACTAAATCATCATGTTTCTGGACTGTAATCTAAGCATTAACAAAAATGTTATGTTGATTACACCAACAAAAATCTCATACTGACATGTTAATTAAGTTAACTGTTATTAACTTAAAGCTTTACAGCTTATCAGTACCACTACACATCCTAGTCCGAATTATTCTGACGTTTTATCAACTTTTTTATACTTCAAACTAATATTTTAGAAACAAATCGTCACTTTCACACACATGTCGCACATGGATCGAAAGATCTATTCTTTATGCACAAGATGAACATAAATTGCATGCCTAAAACAACCAATACAATCACTAAAAACATAATTTTTCAAACTCACTCTGTTTTACTATAGTTTCTTATAGCCCCGTCTTCTAATGCCATGTGACTAAAATCTCGCCGGCTTACATCATAATGTTGAGAAAATACCTTTGGTAACGCGAGATCTTGTCAAGTCATGTGACATTGCTCATGCCCTAATTTCCATTAAAAACATGGGTTGGTATAGAAAACATCCAAAATACTGTTTGTAATGATCTTTGAAACATGTTATTGATACCACCTAAATGTAGTGCATAAAGAATAGACCTTTCGATCCATGTGCAACATGTGTGTGAAAGTGACGATTTGTTTCTAAAATATCAGTTTGAAGAGCGACCCAGTCGCGGGTCACTTATTTCCCTCATATTATAGAGGGCCGGAGTTCTGACGTTAATCGACGACAGACCGATATGAAAAAGTCGATAAAACGTCAGAATAATTCGGACCATATTCATCCCTGTCAGTACACATACAGATCAGATATATATACTAAAAAAATAGTAGCAGGTACTGCAATAATACAGTGGAGAATAGACAGAATATAGTTACTCAAAGTACTATCAGTATCATATTGGTGTGTCCAACACCTGTGATTATGTCATGATCTACTCCAACAGGTGTCTCTGGCTGTAAACCTCTCAAATAGTCCTGTTACACTGACAGGTCATGTGACTTCTCAAACAGGTGTCTCACATTGACAAGTCATGTGAGGTTGTACATGTATGGTTCTCACACTCAAACTCAAAGAAGCATCAAAGAGGTGTCTGACCATCAATCCACACTTTTTTAATTATTTACTTCTTTGGTATATTGTTTGATTTTTAAAATGTTACCCAACGTTCATAACTGCAGATATATGTCCATTTCATATTTTCTACACCTCAGCTAGTGTACAATTAGTTTTTTTAATACCTCCATCCCAGAGATGAAGTTGATAAATTCAACTCATTAAATAAACTTAATAAAATCAAACTGAACCAAACCTGTTTTATGTTTACGAAAGTCGTAATACATACATAAAATATTTTTTAATTAAAACATGAATTGTCATGATACAGATACAAGATTAAAATAATTTATTGCATGCAAAAATCATCACCAAAGATTTAGTGTCAAGAACAGTGTTTGTACTGGGCCAACATTCTGTCGATAACTGACCCTTGTGTATTGTACACAAAGTCTGCGCCCTTCAGAACTACTGGTGACTGTACTAGAGTGTTGCTACTGATCGGCGGTAATGATTATAGATTGTTGATGATGTATGATCATTATCGTTATAATAAACCGATAAGTTGCCTGGAGCTAAGAAGTGGAAAGAAAGTGTTCGGACGAACAGTCCAATATGTTTGACAGCCCGAGGCCTCGTCTGCCCAGACATCAAAGGGCCAAAGCAGACATTTAATCTTCTCGTGATCTTTGCAATGATGTAACTTTCCTACGAAATTTTAAAGATAACACAAAATTAAACTTAACATATGTGAAGTAGAAAAACTTGAAAACTATACAGACCTGTTGGTTTCTGTTCCGGCGATGCTGTTTTTACGGTAGGACAATAAAAGGGAGATAGCAAAGCGATTGTCACAACACAAGCACATAAGGGTAGAAGAGTTCGCGTTGCCATACTGATCCTTTGGAAATAACATATCCAAAGAACAAAACATTAAGCTTTTCGGAATGAAAACATAATTCCCTGTATTGCTGTCCCACGTTTCAGCACTTCCGTGATCGATTTCTAATCCAAGCTACACTACCCCCACTAAACAGTCGACACGCATTTGCCTCTCAGATAGTCTCGGGTTTTATCCAATCATCTATTGAAACTCCTCCGTACAGTGCATCATGTAGGAATTTTCTAGAGGAAGTCCGAAAGGTGTGTATTCTGTTGTAACTTTTGGCGACTGAAATATCTTATATATATATTAAGTTTTACCTTTGCCCTGGTTTATCATAAATATTTAAAAATCATAAACAAATATAGTTTATAAATCAGAAAATGAGCATAATAAATCACAATGATGACTGTAACAAAATGAATAAACGGTACGTCGATAAATAAAATGGGGAGTAAATTCAATAGAGCTAACGGCAAAGGACAGCCCATTCTATTGATTTCATTGGTCAAAAGTTCCACGTTGAGATGTAACAATGGCGGCCCCCAGGCCAGGCAAGTTAATCACCGCTCGCATTTGTTTAATCTGCATATAGATGAATCATTCAGATAAATTAATATCTAATGATGACAAGCTATATGATATAACTATATTCTCGTATGTTTGAAGAGTTTTCAGACATTTCTGATGCACATATTTGATTTAATCATCAAATCAGTTACTATTCCCCTGTTCTGGAGGTTAAAAACAATTATAAACAATCTTTGAAGTTCGAGGCATTCAGTGCCAACCTATTTGAGTCAAGTAAAACGATGTAGATGTTTATAATCAGAACCCGAGCACCTGTGTCACAGCTATTCTATTGTTCAAAGACACAGGTGCTCGGGTTCTGGAATGTGTTACTCCTATAACCTAAGAGGCCGCTGCTCCACCTTTTTTCTATTGAATATGATTTTGCCGACTGCGGCACCTGTTAAAAGTAGCTCGCCCGTGTAAAGCTCTAACACTGTTGTAGTATGGAATGTATATAACATTATTTGTTTATTTATCACACCCCACTAGATATTGCACCCCTTTATACTAATAAATCATATATTAGTTTATTGGGGTGCGATATCTAGTGGGGTGTGATAAGTAAACAAATAATATTATGTATATTCCAGAACACAAGCACCTGTGTTCAAAGAATAGTATTTGGAAGATGATTTTAAATTTTAAAGATGAGAATACTATTGGAACATGTATGCAGTTTTTCATAGAACTTATATGTATGTATAGAAACCAAGAACTAAATAAATCAAAGCAGTGAAGACATAAAACCCAAAATATTAATAAAGATAATACAATAAAGAAATATTATAATATCCATGTCTTGTCCATCAACCTTATATTCCGTCTTTGCGTATTGCAGAGATATCTGCACTTATGAGCAGGTATTGTTTGTTACGTCATTTGTTTGTGAGAGTAACGTCATCAATCAATACCTGCTCACAAGAGAAGATAACTCTGCAATACGCAAAGAAGGAATACCCTATTTAAATTATTTGTAGAATAGATAGTAGAAAATCTGGGTGCAACATATCCTCAGTAATTTTTGCTATTTTTCATATTCTTTTTAAAACAGGAAACCCTGACAGGGGATGGAATGATCCACCCATATTTAACTATACACCTAAGACTTCTGGACATGCATCACCTAGAGGGACAAAACTCAACAAGCGAATAGCCTACACTGGAGGGGCAGTAAATACTCAGTTAAATACTGCAGGTAAAAGGGAATGGATAGGTTACATTTTTTTTTACTTTGTTTATGTTTTACGTCCTACATGCCAAGTTTTGGTGGCAGAGTTCCCAGAGAAAAAACACCAACCTTGTACCTAGCAACTGCCTCACGTGTCTTGAACCTGCGACCAAGTGGTGGAGGGCTAGTGGTAAAGACCTTGAAAAAAGTGTGCACAAGGTTGAATTAAATAGAAACATACATTTTCTTCCTTTCTGCAAAATGAACTGACCCAAAGAATAATCAGTGCTACTGGTTATGGTAAATTGATTTCCCATTCTCGAATAGAAAATATAAGTATTTAAAAAGTATTGAAAGCATATTAGTTTGGTGAAAAAAGAAAAGAAAAAAATTGAACCCATATAGCACAGTTTGCTTGATAAACTAGTTAAGTTTACAAATGTATATATAATGTCTTCTCAGTATGTTCTTAAAAAAGATTAAAGAAAAGTACCAAACAAGAATTTCTTTTAAATTCTGCTGAACACATGACAAAACAAAAAGAAATCATGTTTCAAACAGATTTGTTTCTGCTTTAAAAATTCATTTGGTCAAAAATTTCAGAATTCTTCTACTTATTTTTGAAGAAATTTTAATAATCAGGATTTGCTTATGGTATTATTGTCTGTATTTAGGTTCCGGAACTCTCCTCAACCCAGCTAGTGGACCTCCCATTTCACCTGTACAACTGCTGCCGCCAATACAGTTGTTGCCCCCGACAACCAACACTGCCCCATCTGCCCCTGTCCCCCTCGTGATACCTATGATGGGTTCGGTTACTCCCCTCAACACTGGGATAGAGTCTAATAACAAATCTACCACAATAGACTCACAAAGCACTGACTTGGCAGACATTCTGGAATATTCAAACATTTCTAGTGATGATGAACTTTTCGACAAAGTCAAACAAAAACTTGATAGTGAGTTTGAGAGGTGCTTACCTAGGCTACAGGTAGGTAAAATTAGGTATTATCATGGTAATTCAAAATCAGGATGATTTACAAAACCCTTAGCTTCGAAAGCTGTTGATTATCACATACATCAGAACAGGATGTTTTTTTGCAGATGAATATATCATCTTTGTTCTACATCCAAGTAATGAAATAAGATGTCAGACTAATATACATATTCATTGTTCTTTATATCCAATTTATCAGTCTTTCTTTTGACCCAATTTGCACCAGAATGTTTTTTTCTTGCTATCATATTATTTATCTTGAATTATCAAATGGACAAATTTAAAACTTTTTGTGAACTGTTTATGATGCATGAGTGTGAACTGTAAAAAATCTACAGTAAAAAGGGACTTCTAGTCATTTATAATGGAATCAGACAGAAAAATACTAAAATTGCTGTCAAAATGGACTTCTGCTTTCAATTAAATACAGCGTATAACCTTGTACTGTATGGCATGGTAATGAACTATCACAAGATTAAGATTCAACAGGTTTGCTTTAAGGGTGAACAGTAAAAGATTATAAGAGTCTTTAGTTAAAATGCAAATATTTAGTGTGACTGTTCCTTTTTTTGATGATTACCTCCCTTTAATACTACAGGGACGTGCAGCAGAAGATATCAAGAAGAAACTACAAATTTTAAAAGAAAATTGGAAAGACAAAAAATTGTCCAAGGATGTTCAAGTGAGAATCTGGGAAATACTCCAAGGTATAGTTTTACTGTAATGTTCAACAGTCAAACTAGTTCATGTGAACACCTCCATTCAGGCACCATCTGTCTTAAGAGGCCACTTTCCCCTTACTGGTCTTTTTACACTGGTTTGACTATATTTATTTTGTTATCAATCATCATCATGCTGGTAATTTTACTGAAGTTTGGATGAGTTAACATATACACTACACTGAAAATATCAGCTTTTTCCATTAGCAGAAAAAATCTCAAAATGTTAGACATTTTTACGACAAAACGACTCCATCTAACTGTCATCCTTTAGAAAACAGAGATCTATTAAATCAAATTGGAACTTAAAAGAAAAAATGGTCAGAAAAGTGGATCTTTGGATTTCTTTGATAATGAATTATTTCAGTCTTGCGCTTTATAATCATTAATCAGAGGTACTAATGAGGTACATTTAAAATTTTATCAATTCAAAGATGAAAGGTTTCCTTGATTTAAAAAGTCAAAAGTAAATTTAAAAATGGTGAATTTTCTTATTGTTTTTATGAATTTGTGGGTTTTCTTTTCAGCTTTAGAAAATAAAGAATATGACAAGGCCTGGGAAAGCCACCTGTCTCTCATGGTGGACTACACAGCCGAGGTACTGAACTTGTAGGATACAGACCACTGTCTGTCTTAAAAAATAAGATTTGGTAATTCATATATGAACCTATTTATGAAGAATAAATTAAAAGGATTATAGTGGTTGTAAAGATGCTAACTTAGTGTTTTAAGTACTTAATTTTTACAACAGCCTCTTCCTACAGGATTTGGGAAAATGTAGCATTATGTTCATTGAATCTGGGAAGACATTCCTCAATTTTACTTCATTTTGGCGAAACACAGCACGATTTTGCTTGGGAAAGCAGCCTGTATTTGGCTGTAAAACTAAGGGGGAAAACCACTGGCAATGAAAATTTCATAAAAAATACATTTCAGTTCCATACAAGATAAGTTGAATTGTCTCCCTTCCTTTCAGGTTGGCCAGTGGTTGGTTGCAGTCAAACGGATTATTCACGAGAATCGGGAAATGAGGAAAGAAGAGGAAAGTTCTGTAAAACAAGAGACTGATAAAGATTTAAAATCAGATTCTGATGCTGCCAATTTAATTGATGTGTCTGATCCGAAAATATCCTCCAGTAGTGTTTTAACACTGGACGATTGTACTGCGGTGGCTGGTGATATAGACAGAACAGGATCATCAGTTGATGGTTGATTCAAGATTTCAGGATACTTCAACAGCCTTTTTTCCTTCAAATTTGCCATGATTTTCATATATTTTTTATGTGGATACCTCCTGAATTTCCCAAAGATAAGACTGATTGAAAATGACATCATCAACTTGAAGTTTGTTTCAAGAGTTTGCTTGTCTTAACAATTCTTAATTTGGACAAAGAGAGGAGATGCTGGAAACTAAATAATTAATCGTTGTAGGATAGTAATGATAGAAATCTGAAATGGCCTTCATTGGTCTCCCACTAACTGTTGGGAACCAGTTAAATTGGACAGGGGAGATAACTGCTGTAATGGTTTTAAAAGATTGGTTGTCGATGATAACCTACATTTCGGCCATTTATTACTTTAATTTCATTGAGAAGAACTTATTTGGTATGCCTGTCTGTTAAAAGTTGTTTGACTGCATGCTAGATTCATGACAGCGTATATGGGCTCATGTTAGTTTTAAATTCATGTTTATCATTATCATGGCTCCTATCTTATTTAATCAATTTAATATTGGCATTTTTGGAACTTTTGGAACTTTTTTGATACTTGGAAATAACCATATTACTGCTTGTATATCTTTCAAATAGTGCAATATTGTGGGAAATTATTGGAGAACCTTTCTTTAAGTAATATTTAACTGAAAAATGTGCTCAAACTTATACATGAACCTGTATTATGTAGTTGAGTAAAAGCCTACAAAAATGTGTCTCTGCATTCATTCCTTTACATTATATTTTCAATAACGTGTTAAGAATTGCAAGACATTTTTCTTTGACGATTCCTTTATTTTATGTCATTGTATAGTGATAGGTATAATTTTGTTTAAATAAGTAAAAAAACATTGCTTTAATTTACATGCAAACTGCAAATTTTATGGTCTAATTTGTTTTAAATCAAAGTGCTGCTGAGTGCTTGCAAAGCAAACCACTTAAAGGTTTAGTAATTCATTACAGTGTTGCATCATTGATGAATGTTGTAATGGAGGACCACAAAATCAAACAGCACCAATCTTCAAAAGCCATGTTCCATAGATCAGGATTTCAATCAAAGTGGCAGATGGGTATGAATTAACTGGTTTACCAAGACTTGGTAAATTAACTGGTTTATTAAGACTTGGTAAATTAACTGGTTTACTAAGACTTGGTAAATTAACTGGTTTACCAAGACTTGGTAAATTAACTGGTTTATTAAGACTTGTATTTATCCAACACCTGTATCGATTAACCAGTGGCCTAGGAATTGATGAACAGGGCAATATTGTTAGGAAGAGATGTAAAAAAAAACCATGTAGTGCGGTAATGTATAAATGCTTTTTTATTGGATATATATTTGTTACTACTGTATACAGTATATTGAATATACATTTTACTATGTTATATATAATATCTATAATAGTGGCCATATATAGGTTAGATCTATTGAACTCACAGAGATGATTTATATTCAGGTGGGTCATGGTACTTACTTATTCTATGAGCTAAGTGTACAAAAAAAAAATAATACAATGTTAATTTTGTTTTACTAAAAGTGCAAAAGATACTGTATACAATGTTATTTGTTCGTGTCAGTATTAATATCACGGTAAGATGAATTTGATAATTTAAAAAAAACCTGCAAGCATACCTTCAGGCCAAGCAATCTTAAAGGGGCTGGTTGGGGGGGAAAAGGCATATTTGCTAAAATGGCATACACATGTTTAAAATACCTTCTTATGAAATATACCGATACAAATTTTGCTGAAATTCACTCCCTAAGAGTAAAAATTATAATTATATTAAAAAAATCCTAAATCGTCACCTGATAGTCTAAAACTCTCAATTGACCCAGATCAGTGATGTAATTTTACCACACGTGCGTCATCTACAAGGCCAAATGTAAACATCCCGGCGAAAGAAAAAAGATGCATGCAAAAGTCATGACAGGCACGAGGTATCAATACCGTTATATATAACAACAACATATGGGTAGGAATACTACACTTGCATCATACATGACCTTTGAAAAGAATTATTTACGTAGTATTGCTGTCTTGTCCGCTAGTTGAGTCCGACATGGCACATGACGGCTTGCTATTGTTGTTATCTTCACTGCCTCACTTTCAAAACAACCACGTTACATATATAAATAGATCTGCGCTAAATTTACGCGGGGCTTTCCCGAGATTTCAGTGGTCAAAACTGGACATTGCAAGCAGAACTCGACCATCATACTGCCGTGCCGCAATTTTTTCCCCGACCAGACCCTTTAAAACAACCCAAAAAAACAAAAACGATTTTTCCATGTAAACCCAAAAATAAGACTGCACAATTTCATAGCAATATGTAATACTCATCCTTGATAATAGAAATGAGTGACTTCAATTTTCACTATGTTAATGGCCAGTGGGGAGAAGGTTATTTGTTTTGTTTAAATGCATTGGATATAAATTACCTATACATGTTATAATACAAGATATTTTTTTGTTTGACATTCAAGTTTTAGCCTTGCATCTAAAACTTAATCATCTGGGGTAGTTCTGTGGTTTTTGATATACATTAAATTTCTGTATTAAGAGGAATTTTACATCTAGCATCCTGTGATGAACAATTTAAAAAAATATAAAGGTAGAATGTTTCGGGAGTTCTGTGATTTTTGGGCACATTTTCATTATTATTTTTCTATAGTTAGGGGTGATAAGAATTTTTTATTAGTTTTTACAAGATTGTACATGAAGCTGGAATTCTTCATGTTTGGTTTCCTTTGGTATTGCATATTTTTCAATTTTTTCTAATTCTTGTCAGTTGTAGTAGAGGGCTGTGTTGATTGTGGCTTCCAGTATTTGAGTACCTCCTTCAATCTTAAAATGTGTTGGCTGTAATTAAAAAATAAACAAATAAATAAATTAAAAAAAAACTTACATCTCAAGCTAAAGAATGATTATTTTAAAAAAACGCACTTGAAAACGCACTTAATTTCTTACTTTCTCAAGCTAAAAATTCATGATTTTTAAAAAACAACCTGAAATTTCTTACTCTCTCATTTTTGTCTCGCTGTCCCAAACATTAACGTTAAGTTTTTGTGTTTGAGTGAGTTTTGCTGAAAGTATAAGTGTTAGACCAACCGAACTTTGACCCTAGATGCATCCTAGGTAGTACATCTTAACCCATGCATCAAATGCTGGATGAGGCCTACCTTTCATGGTCCATTGACTTTGTCAGCATCTCCATCAACATTAAGTTTTTGCTTTTAAGTTAGTTTCTCTGACGTGTACATTAATGGTCAAAGCAGGGCACAGGCGAGACATTAATCTGAATGGCTTGTTAAAAATCATTATTAAAAAAAAAAAAATGATGAAGATGATTTTTTTAACAAAATCTGTTCATTACTAATGTATTAAAACACTTAATAGTGGCCGTTCTTTGAATTGAACACTTGCAATTTTGTTTAAATATTGTTATAGACCCTACCACTTTCGTTTGACATATCAAAGCACTTAAAACATAACTTAACAATAGGATGTATTTGTTTTGCACTCCAACCACTGTGTTTATTTAGCCTGCAGAATAATACATGGCTATTTTGCTTATCACAGTTTCAATCCATATGTGATTTTATGTTTTAAGAAATTTTGATGTACATCTTGCTAAAGGGCTTTTTCTGAATCTTGTTCATTTGTCTGAGTCCTGTAATTAAAAGCTAGTTCTTGTTTCCAATTTTGTTTTCTGATGCCATTTAAGAGAGAGTATGTTCCTTTTTATCATTTTAATATAAATTCTTTCTCATGCTTAACAATTAAAATTGTAATGTAATTACATTAAAGAAGTACTTCAACATACAATTAATTAATACACATAAATTGTTTAGATTGACAGTTTGTGATAATATACTGACCATATTATGTAATGAACCAAAAATTAAAAAAATATCATGGGTAGATATGATAGAAGAAAGGAAACCGTAATGAATAGAGAATGAAAAGATCCCAATTGCAACTAGCACCTAGAATCTACCCGACTCTAAAATGTACCTTTGTACCTTATCAAATATTAGTATGTTATCATATTGAGACAGATTTGGGTCACCATAAATTAAACGTTCAGGGTTCAAATAAATATTTAAAGTAAATGGTGTTCATTCTAGCTTGGTTAAAAAGCCTTCACAGTTTAACACTATTTAAAGACAAAGGTTCATATGTGTGTAGGCAACAGACTAGCTAGCATATCCATTTTGTAAAGGGAGAGAAATGTGTTTCTCATCATCTTATTTTGAAACAAATGATGTTGTATAATAACTGTGTACTGTAGAAAATTACTGTGTTTTAAAACAACTGATTTTGTATAACGTTGGGCTAGAAAACTACAATATATGACATTTTTGTTGTGGGATAATGGCGTACATAAACATATATTTAAATGGCTGTAATGTGGTATTACAAATGTGTTAGAAATCTGCAATATTTTAACATGATATGTAGGTGTTGAAGTGTACTCGAATATTACCATATTTTAAAATGGCTGTAATGTGTTATAATGGTGCTGGCTACTTTGAGTTGACATTTCACTTTGTAAGGAATTGTTGAAAGAATGAAATGTATTTTATCCAAGCTCTACAGTAGCAATGTGATATTGTTAAAATCGGTATGCTTTCTGTGATGTTACAATGAAAGTTTATTTTACAGAGCAGAAATTCTAAGGAAATTTCACGACTTCTTCAATATCTAGTCATTCAATGGCTGTGAAAAAGTTAGTTACCGAACTACCACAAATAAATTGTATAATACTCCTTTATTGTTGTTAGTCCTTCTGATTTCTGGTATTGTATTGAATTTCTGCCTGATGATCACTATCACCTCTTTATTATACAGCTTTTGAAACTCATCAAAAGAACTCCCCTAGTACAAATGTAGCCGTCTTCAGCATCCAAGGGTACCTCTATCTTCTGTACACCCTAAGAATATGTCATGCTAATATAGACGTCACTTTATGCAACACCTTGCTAATAATACAAGTAGACTAGTCAGACTGATGTCTTAGAAGAAGATCACCTTCAAAATACAGGTATCAGGTTAGCGATTGTTCAGGTGTTTACACCTGAAAACAACCAAATAGCTTTCTGCAAGCCTTCAATTATGTCATGACACATTCTAGGGATGCAGAGAAGATTTGTATCTCATTACACCTGTCTGGAGTACAGATGTAGCTCATTACACCTGTCTGGAGTAAAGTTGTAGCTCACTGAAGAGATGTAGCTCATTACACCTGTCTGGAGTACAGATGTAGCTCTTTACACCTGTCTGGAGTACAGTTGTAGCTCACTGAAGAGATGTAGCTCATTACACCTGTCTGGAGTACAGATGTAGCTCTTTACACCTGTCTGGAGTACAGTTGTAGCTCACTGAAGAGATGTATCTCATTACACCTGCCTGGAGTACAGTTGTAGCTCACTGAAGAGATGTATCTCATTACACCAGCCTGGAGTACAGTTGTAGCTCACTGAAGAGATGTATCTCATTTCACCTGTCTGGAGTACAGTTGTAGCTCACTTAAGAGATGTATCTCATAACACCTGTCTGGAGTACAGTTCTAGCTCACTGAAGAGATGTATCTCATTTCACCTGTCTGGAGTACAGTTGTAGCTCACTTAAGAGATGTATCTCATAACACCTGTCTGGAGCACAGTTGTAGCTCACTGAAGAGATGTATCTCATTCCACCTGTCTGGAGTACAGATGTAGCTCACTGAAGAGATGTATTCTGCAAGCCTTCAATTATGTCATGACACATTCTAGGGATGCAGAGAAGATTTGTATCTCATTACACCTGTCTGGAGTACAGATGTAGCTCATTACACCTGTCTGGAGTACAGTTGTAGCTCATAGAGATGTATCTCATTCCACCTGTCTGGAGTACAGATGTAGCTCACTGAAGAGATGTATCTCATTTAACCTGTCTGCAGTACAGTTGTAGCTCACTGAAGAGATGTGGCTCATTACACCTGTCTGGAGTACAGTTGTAGCTCATAGAGATGTATCTCATTCCACCTGTCTGGAGTACAGATGTAGCTCACTGAAGAGATGTATCTCATTCCACCTGTCTGGAGTACAGATGTAGCTCACTGAAGAGATGTATCTCATTCCACCTGTCTGGAGTACAGATGTAGCTCACTGAAGAGATGTATCTCATTTCACCTGTCTGCAGTACAGTTGTAGCTCACTGAAGAGATGTATCTCATTACACCTGCCTGGAGTACAGTTGTAGCTCACTGAAGAGATGTATCTCATAACACCTGTCTGGAGTACAGTTGTAGCTCACTGAAGAGATGTATCTCATTCCACAAGTCTGCAGTACAGATGTAGCCCACTGAAGAGATGTATCTCATTCCACCTGTCTGCAGTACAGATGTAGCTCACTGAAGATATGTATCTCATTTCACCTGTCTGGAGTACTGATGTAGCTCACTGAAGAGATGTATCTCATTACAACTGTCTGGAGTACAGTTGTAGCTCCCTGAAGAGATGTATCTCATTACAACTGTCTGAAGTACAGTTGTAGCTCACTGAAGAGATGTATCTCATTACACCTGTGTGGAGTACAGATGTAGCTCACTGAAGAGATGTATCTCATTCCTCCTGTCTGGAGTACAGATGTAGTTCACTGAAGAGATGTATCTCATTACAACTGTCTGAAGTACAGTTGTAGCTCACTGAAGAGATGTATCTCATAACACCTGTCTGGAGTACAGTTGTAGCTCACT